GTGTTAGTCAGTAGAGGGCGAGTTCTTTTCAGCATGCCAAGCATCTTGTTCCCTTTGGCGGTGATGGTATGAACATGATCGTCCCATGAGAGGTTGTAATTTATGAAGACACCAAGATCTTTTTCCTTATCCACACGAGTAAGTTCCTTTGAGCCCATGTGATATGCGTACGTCAGCGGGGTTTTTTTCCTTGTAATTGTCAACACCTTACACTTCGACTCGTTAAAATTGAGGTTGTTGTCACGGCTCCAGCAGTCAAGGTCTGTTAAAGCTTGTTGCAAACTTTCACAGTCACCTACTGATGTGATGGACTTGTACAGTTTGGTGTCGTCTGCATACAAAGCTGCCAAAGTCTCGTCAGGTAATATGTCGGGAAGATCGTTTATGAATATCACAAACAGAATAGGACCCAGGAGACTGCCTTGCGGCACTCCAGATGTAACTGGCACCCAATTACATGTAGCTCCATCAATCACAACCCTTTGACGACGACCACTGAGATAGTCCGCGAACCATTCATATAAATGACCTGACACACCGTATGACGCAAGCTTGTGGAGGAGAATTTGGTGATCGACAGAGTCAAAAGCTTTCGCAAAGTCGAGGTAGATAACGTCAGTTTGAACGTTTTTGTCAAGGGATTGCCCGATGGCGTGTAGTACCGATAGTAGTTGACTAACGCAAGATCGCCGTCTAAGGAAACCATGTTGTGCTTTTGTGACGAGGTGCCTGACATGATTATATAGTCTGATGCACACGCAACGCTCTAGTACTTTGCCAACGATGGGCAGCAACGATATTGGTCTGTAATGTTCCGCCGGTTCTTTAAGATCTTTTTTGTGGACGAGTGTAACATTCGCAGATTTCCACTCAGATGGAACATGACCAGTATGCAAGGAACGGTTAAACAACTCACATATGCTTGGTGCGATTTCAAGGGCGCATACTTGTAACAGGCGAGCTGGAATGCCGTCGGGGCCACATGCTTTCGAGGTATCAAGGGCACACAAAAATTGCGCAACTTCGTCTACATCGATTGTTATCTCCGAGATGTTCTCTTTGCTTTCCGTTCGAGGCGTCTGGTTACAAGTGGTAGAAGATGGATGAAACACTGAAGAAAAGTAAGTGTTAAAAAGATCCGCTTTTTCTTTCGCCGTCTTGGCTGTGAAACCATTATATGTTATTTCGTTGCTCTGACCTGTCCGGTGGTGAAGAATTGATTTATGGTAACTAGTAGGCCTATTATAGTTAAATTGGATCAATATATAGGGATTGACCCGGGGACCTCTAAGCATAGATATCTATGCCTCTAAGTATAAATAAAAGTTAGTTTAGTTAGTTAATTAATCCTGTAGGCTTTAGCTTGAAATGAACAGTTAAATTGATTCAGCATTTGTAGCTATATAAGGCGAGGGCTATCATCGCCTATATCGTATAGATTAATGTTATATAAAGCCTTTCAACATTGCTGTAATCCTGCATGTATCTACATACAACATTAAGATTACGATTGCCAATGGACATTGCATGCAGGTGCTTTAATATTCATTTGCATATTAAATAATACATCATTCTTCACTTCCTTCAGCAGTTGCATATTTCATGCAAGCATAAAATTATACACAGTTTGGTGAACACTACATGCTTGTGAGTTTGCACAAAAGTTGTAATTAAAGTTGGTCGTATAAGAATAGATTGGAACTGGATTATCAATGAACTATATAGGTTTTTGTGAAGCGATACTATAGAAGACGACGCAATTGACAGGAACTGCATGCATTAAAATCAAAGGTAAGCGTGAGTTAAAAGCATGTCTATTATCAAAAAATGTAACGCGTATATAGTATAATGAGTTCCATTAGTGATCAAAAGGAATGTCTTGGTATTGACCATTGTATATATGAGGAGAGGAAACCTAGGTGCTGCTGTATATATTCAACGAATCTACAGTATAGCGTGTCTTACTATCATTTCTTTGATTAATCTTGTGCTGTAGCTCAAACATAAATCTACTTGCTACGTAACCTATATATATGCAAGACACCTGTCAACATTTTAGGGCAAATAAAGAAATAATTAATTGAGTAAGGTGCCAAACCAATAGCATACACTCGTTGGGAAAAATTTCTTCAGCCGCCTTTATGGACGATACGATTTGCTGGCAATATACTGAGTTCTACTCATGTTGGCCTTGAGCTTCATTGTATAGTTTCCTAAGATTACGTGGTCTATATTGCCTTCCTGCGAGGCATCAGTTCATTCATATGACGTATCTATAGATCGATATTTACATCAATGCATCATCGTATATATCGGAACACCATGGCACAAATTAATAATATTCTCAAATATATAGTTAACCCTATTTATTAGAATGTTGATACTTTCTAAGTTATGAGGTATAGATGTATATATTATATATTTGGTGTTTTATTCAGATATAATCAATAATTCAAAGTAAACAAGCAGTAAGTGCCCCCATGCAAATTGTGTTTTATCTATATGGTAGCCTAAATAGTGTTATATTATGAGAACCTGAAATATGTGATTTCTTATCTGATTGCTCCACGGTTTTCATCGCTATGCTATATAGTAAAACACACATGCCTGCAGCCAGCCAGTTCTGTGATAAAGTTTATAAGCATTGAAATAAAGTTCACGTATTTACGTTCGTGAATCACTGACATACGTAGGAGAGAATAGTTTGAACGTCACTAAATGTTTCGTGCAAGACCGTGAGACTAACTTAATTAAAATAATGAAATTATCGAAAAAAGAAACATTTTCACATATAAATATGTAATATGACAGGCGAGATACATCAACGTATCTTATTTAGTAATTATGGATAGTGTTCTGTGGTTATCGTGTTTGTCTATATAACAATAGAGGGAGATAAAATCCCCCCATTAATCCATATCAACAAGAATTTGTACAATTAGATCATAAGGAAAAAACAACATGGTTTTTCTAGTGCGTTCGTTGGTCACAATGCTAAGCAGAAGAAATTCTTCACAACATAACTAGGTATATATACTACTTTTCTTAATTTCCATACCTTATATAAACAGTCATAGAACTCAGGGGCAGTACTCTGTGTGAACTTCGGTTAGTTTTTGATCTCAACATCGATCGATTAGAATGTTCTGATCTTGTTTTGTCCCATGGCCAAGCTGTTTCTCACGCTAAAAATATTGTGTAATGTTCAGACGAATACAAAGATCAAATGCACGGACACGGTAATAACAATGAACCAAGAAAACGTGGCCGTCACTGGAACTCTAGGGAGAACAGTTTAGAAGTAATAGTGCTAGCCATGTGGTATATAAATAAAGTTGTTTAGTTTAGCTTTCCTCAAGAAGTGACACTGAGCATATAAAAGATGACATTTACTATAGACTTCCTGTAGTAATCTAACCAGAGCATTAACCTATATATATATATATATGCCTAAATTTATAAATGAATGAAACATACACATGAAATTTCTACAAAAATACAAAACATTTTAACGTTGGTTCAATCAAAGCCTATCAAAGAGAAGATGGCTGTAAAACTCATTACAATAACAATATACCTCATTATCTATGTTAGCCAACGTTTATTCATAAATCTGGTCCTTCACCGTCACGTGTGTATTGTATTTTTGCCAAATCCACCAATAGCAATTTCCAATTTCCCTATTGTTCGAGTCACGGATGTAGGTAACTTTCCTAAAACATTGCTATTGGTTAGTTGGGCAAAAATACTATACACACGTGACGGTGAAGGACCAGATTTATGAATGAACGTTGACTAGCATAGATATAAATTAGTTATATTGTTATTTTAATGAGTTTCATAGCCATCCTCCCTTCGATAGGCTATGGTTCAATCAAGTGAAATGAAAAAAAAAAATCCTGGTATTATAATAATAAAACCATCTACTATTGTAGTAACCATCTGATCCTATAATGGTAAACTAAAATTCAGGGGCGTAGGAACCGGGGCGGGGGCAAGGCCCCAAGTTTTCACTAGAAGACATAAAAAGTGCCCTTTGCCTTTGTGAAAAATATTGTTCAGATTGCATTTATTTTCCCTTCCTTCTCCCCGTCGCCAACATTTCCGGGAAGAACGTTTTAGGTGCCCTCTTCATTCCAAAAGTGACCCTCGAAACCGGTGTCCCCCTCCCCCCTCCAACCTTTTGATGCTTCCTACGCCCGTGCTAAAATTATTATCCATTATTCTTCAGCTCCTGCGACTGTACGACATAACGTGTTGATGAAGAAAAGCTGGAAATGATTCAAGGTTTCTTAATATTTCAAACTGTAGCCGAGATTATTATTTTACTCCTGGGTACAATCGGTAATGTGTTAGTGGTATTGGTGATTGCTAAGCGACGAAAGATGCGAACTGTAACAAATTATCTCATTCTAAATCTGGCGTGTGCCGATCTCACTGTACTAAGTAGCAACATTCCTATCGATCTGACCACTCGGTTTATGAAGAGATGGGTGTTTGGTAAAGCGACGTGTAAGATTATAAAACCGTTACAAACTATGGGAACCATTGCTTCGATATTGACATTGGTGGCCATAAGTCTTAGCAGGTATGAAAAGATACATGAAAAATAGGAATGATGTTTTCAAGTACTGTTCCTATATGAAGTCCCCAATCTTGGTAACCTGTTAACAGACTGTACTGTTTATTAGAGGTGTGACTTCGATATTCGAAATAAAATGAATTAATTATCCAGAATCATGCACTTTGTCAGCTTCTTGACATGTATTTCTTGCTTTTATATTTATTTGGTTAAATATTTCCACTTGAATGAGAAAAGATCGGATCGGATTAGACAATTTCGGATCGGATTGGATTTTAAACATTAGCCAATGGACCAATCCCCAATTAACCAAAATTTTGATCTCAACAAGTCTAGACAAAATTCCATCATAGCATGAAAGGGCATCACAAAATTAGTAATATTCCAAAGTTTCGTTGCGAAATGTTGTAAAATGCGGATAATATAGCCTTGCGAAATTTGCAATTTTCAGTCATTTTCGATTACAAACGGGAAATGGTTACCACTTTTCCAAAATTTTGATCTTAACTAGCCTAAACAAAAATTTCATCACAGCTTGAAAGAGCACCACAAACTGAAATTAGTAATATTCCAAAATTTCATGGCAAAATGTTGTAAGATGCGGATAATATAGCCTTGCGAAGTTTGTAATTTTCAGTCATTTTAGATTACGCACAGAAGTGGTAACCATTTCCCGTTTGTAATCTAAAATGACTGAAAATTGCAAACTTCGCAAGGCTATATTATCCGCATTTTACAACATTTTGCAACGAAATTTTGGAATACTACTAATTTTGTGATGCTCTTTCAAGCTGTGATGAAATATTTGTCTAGACTTGTTGAGTTCAAAATTTTGGTTAATTGGGGAATGGTCCATTGTCGGATTATAAACGTCCAATCCGAACCGATGCACACCTCTATTGTTTATTGCACTCTTGGCCCATTTCCATGGCCTCGTTTTCATGTTGTTATTCCTCATGTTTCGTATACAATAGGTTTAAGGATGGTTTTGTGATTGGGCTCAAGTTCAAAGTGAACCAGCTGTGTGCATGAAAGATGAGGATATAACCTTTACGTCTGGCTGTCATGCTAAAACAAGCAAACATGAACACGAGGTCATTGGGGCTATTGAGATATTTTTCCCTGTTGTACAGAATTTGCATAACCAACATAAATCCTCTATTAAGAGGCATTTGAACTATCCGATAAACCAATCAGATGGGTTTGATATGTTCGATCAGTTGCGTACTAGGCCAGTGAAAGCGGTAGTGGAAGTCAAATGTAAACCTCTATAATAATCGGACAACTGCATTTTGCAGGAATCAATCCATTACTAATGTGCCATAAATAACCTACCACTCAGAACCCGACCCCCAAAAAACTATGCTATCTTAATTTTACTATCTATTTCTAGATATCATGCGATCGTGTATCCATTTAACCGGCAAATGAAGTTATCGCATGCCAGAGTGGTATTGGTGGTTATATGGATAGTCTCTCTGGTTGGTATAATACCGTATGCAATGGCTTGCAAATATTATCCTATTGAAACAGACTGTGGTGAAGATTTTGCAAGTATTGGCATGTCACCCAGGGCTTACACGCTGACTATGTTTATGTTACAATACGTTCTACCGATGATAGGAATGACCTACGCTTACAACAGGTAAAGATAAAAACATTTATTGACTGCAGGGATCGAGAGACACAGTGTGTTTTGTAATAGCCCCTGGTTTTGAGGACCCGGGACTGCCACACTTTCTCGAGGCAAACATCTGCAGTCTACCGTTTGCCTACGACGATGTTCAAATGTGTTGGGATGGATATCCAAACTATCTATTATCTTGACAAACTTCTACCCCCTCATATTTCAATGTTGGGTTTCAGTTAGAATCTTACTTTGGTGTATGATCGGGTAAACAATATTGAATGGGGTGAGGGTGAGGGAGCTACAGTTGTACGTTTGCCATAATTTGCATGTATCCACTGATAATTTAAAACTGCAGATGTCCCATCAATGGTTGTACGTAGCTTGATTATATTTATTATTAAATATTTTTTTTTAGAATCGGAGCAGAATTAAGTAACCAGCAATGTAGAGGGTGTGGTACATTAATGGACGCCGAGTACAGACGAGATACCAAGAAAGTTGTAAAAATGTTGTCAATAGTTGTAGCTGTGTTTGCTGTACTTGATTTACCACTACATATTGTTTATATATGGCTTGATTTCTTTGATGGTGACAAAGGTTTGTGATTTCAAATTAATTTATAGTTTATACTTAGGGGCCTTAGGGGCCGTTCACACTAGCCATTTAATTAGCTCGAACGGAAATCGATTCAGAACCATTACTTGTAGGTGAATTATTAACCAAAAATTCTTGGTTAATATATTAGTGCACCTATAACAACATAATCTGGGTACCTTCGATACCAATGTGTTCTTACGATCATGATATTTTTTGTGTGTTTTGATGTTATGTACTCAGGTGAATATAATGTTTCTGATGATACTCTGAGTGTATATCCACACCGGCCAAGCTTGAAAAACATGCCTGACTACGGTTAGTCCAATGCTCTGCCAACTGAGCTACGAGATCAAATTTAGGCCCTGTTTACACTATACCGGATTCGCTGGTCACGACATCTTCTTTTGCCGTTACGGAGCAATGGTTAGTAGCAAATGCTTATTAGTTTGACAGAATTGGCATGTTTATTTGGGTCTCTGAGATTAAAAATCTTCACAGCCTTTCGATACCTACAAAATTTGACCCACTCCGATAGCAATCCGGTATAGTGTAAACGGGGCCTTAGTCTAAAAGATGAAACCGTATAGTTTTCAATAGTTTTTAGATAAGGTATTGGAATACTCGTCTATTCACTTATCACTCAATTTTCCTTTCCATTTAGTTCCGTTCTACGAATACATCTTCAGTCTTGCGAATATCATGCTCTACGGTAACAGCTTTATCAACCCAATAATCTACAGTATTTGCAACGACCAATTCAGAACAGGATTCCAAGATTTATTTGGTTCGTGTTTACAACCATGTAACTTTCTTATGAAAATAACTGGTTTGTCAAAACCTGACCCTGACAGGACGTTCTCGCGTGCTCAAAATGACCGCAAATCTTTGCGAGATGACAGACAAGACGAACGTGTATTAACAGATGGTAATAATGCGGAGGGACTTAGGATAAATGGTGTCAGACCAGAATTAGAAAGATCGGACTCTGCATGTGGGGGTAAGTGTGCAGATCGCAACAGACAGAGGGTGATGTCAGTGGCTTGTACCTCAAAATTAGAAGAAATTGCATACGTGTCGGCAGTGTAAGATGAAATGATGATATATAATAGACCCTTATTGGGTGTGATGATCCAACAGATCTGGACTTACAGGAAAACAAGCACAATGTTACATCAACATTCCTCACTGAATCTATAACCCACGATAAGTTGAAAGGCAGTCGCTCCTATATTAGCTCCGTGTGATATGATTCATATTATTTTGAGCAAGGTGTGAAAACTTGAAATTTTACCCGGATGAAAGTTGAACACTTTTTTGAAACTCTGCCATATGGATCAAAACCAGATCTCATTGTAATGTTACTATAGTGTATTGGAGAATCGAACCTATACGGTCTGGGCATCTGAAGAAACAGCGAAGTATATCAAGAATTCCTTCTGGTACAGTCTACTTTGGGAATCTGGTTGATCCACTGTTTGATGCTTCACTGCGGTTCAAGCAAATTGAAAGCATTTCTGATATACCATTTCATTTGCAGATCACTCAGAGTTTATACTAAACATTGTGGACGTCCCATTGGTCGTGCAAATTTAATTATATATAATATATTTATTATGAAGATATATTTGCATTAACGAATTGTTATAATAAAAGTATTTTATTGGTGTTAGTTTGTTGGATTAAACTAGCAACTCGTGTTCGCGACTACAGACTACACGACTTTGTGTAGTACATTAGGGCATGGTTAATAAAATACATTACTTTATTTTACAATCCATGCTTAGGATTACTGAAAGAGCACGAAAGTTACTTGGGGATGGAAGCAAAATATTGAGTATTGGGTTTTAAGGTAGTTTGAATATGAATATTGATGGTAGGATAGAATTGAGGTAGGTTTTTCCGACACTTTTTTTAGAAATTTTTAAGGTATAGAAAATGAATCAGAGGTTTAGGAATGTTAAATATTTAAGGGAAAATATTCCTCATCCACACCCGAACGTTACTGAGAGTGCCCAGTGGCGGAAATTCACTTTTTCCGG